TGGCTATCCTTAATCAATTCCTGTCTCTCTAAATGTCCATAAGTCCTATCTTTTATAATCACCTCCTACAATTTACCCACAACCGAAGTCAGACTCACAGGTTTATAGTTCCCCGGTTTCTCCTTACAATCTTTCTTAAACAAAGGTACAACATTAGCCAGCCTCTAGTCATCAGGCACCTCACCCGTAGACATAGATGATGCAAATATTTCTGCAAGGGGTCTCGTAATTTCCTCCCTTACTTGCCTCGATGTTCTGGAATAAATTAGATCAGGACTAAAGGAATGTTGAAAGAGGGTTTGAGCCCAGAAATAGTGAAGTCTTTCTTCAGTTGTAGGGAGCTTGGCTCAACTGCACTCTTTGCAGTTTTGGGCTCTTTAACTCAGCAAAGATATTATTGTCATAGAGAGAGTGGTCCCCCAGACATGTTCCCGGAATGGTAGGGCTGGCCTACGAAGGATGATTAGCCCAGAATTTCAAAGAATAATAGGTGAGCTCAGTGAAACCTACAAATACTGAAAGGGATAGATGGGGTAGTTGCATGTAAGATATCCCTTTGGTTTCTTTTATTCATTTGCAGGATGAGGACATCACTGGCCAGGCCAACGTTTATTGCCCAGAGGGCAGTTAAGAGTCAATCACAATGCTGTGGGTCTGGAGTCACATGTAGGCCAAACCAGGTAAGGACAGCAGTTTCCTTCCCTGAAGGACATTAGTGAACCAGATAGGTTTTTGCAACAAAAAACTGATGGTCATCATTAGACTCATAATTCTAGATTTTTAACCAAATTCAGATTCTATCATCTACCATGGTAGGATTTGAACTCAGGTCCCTAGGACATTACCTGAGTCTCTAGATGGATAGTCTAGTGATAATACCACTAGGCCATTGCTTCCCTTTGGTTGGGGTGTCTAGGACCGGGGGCACAATTTAAAAAGAAGGAGATAGCATTTATGACATGACATGTTGCTCAGAGAGTCGTGAAACCTGCCAAAAATGGCCTTGGAAGCTCAGTCTTTGAATTTTTGACGTGTTTAAGGCAGGGTTTGATAGGTTTCTGATGACCAGTGGCATTACAAGGATATCGGGATCGGGGTGGGTAAAAGGCAGTGAAGTGTCCAATCAGCCACAATTGTATTGAATGGTGGGGCAGGGTCAATGGGGGCTGAATGGCCTCCTCCTGTCCCTATGTATCATTTACAGACTTGGATGGTGATGATACAATGAACAGCCACTGAGTGTCACTGTTGCACCTCACTCTCAGCCATTCCTGCTTTCTCCCCTTCAGCGATCACTCGCGCGCGCACGCGCACACGCACACACATATAAGCTGAGGTTTTTGTTTCACAGTCACATTTCTCACAAAGCTGCTGCTACCCTTCACGTCGAAGCAGCTTCGTTCACTCATGTCCTCAATGGAGCCTGGAAGGGAAGACCTGGAGGTGTCAGACCCTGCCCATCTCCCTGTTTGCACTGTAGGTGAGGCAGCAGCCTGAAACGAGAGACTGCACACAATTATTCAGAGACCAGCATCAGTTCCCTAAGAGGAGAGATGCAGGTGTGCGTATGTTAGTTATTGGCATAGCAAGACTCCATGCTGGAACAATCCAGTCAGTCCCATTTCCCCGCGCACTCCCCGTTACTCTGCAAGATTGTTTCCTTCAAGTATCTGTCTAGTTTCCTTTTGATATCATTCATCAAATCCAACTCCAACCCTCACGGGCAGTGAGTTCCAGGTCATTACCACTCACTGTGGAAAAACGTTCTTTCTAACATCTCCCCATTGCCCAGTATCTCCTGACCAATACCTTCAATCTGGGTCCCCTAGGCTGCATCATCAGCCAATGGGAGCAGCTTTCCTTGTCTCCCTTATCCAAACCCGTTATAACCCTATCCATCTCGATTAAATTTCCCCTCGATCTCCTCCGCTCCATGGAGAACAACCTCAGGTTCTCCAATTGAACCTTGTCAGTAAATTCCCTCATCACTGGACCCATACTGTTAAAGCTCCCCTGCACTCTCTCGAGAACCCTCACACACTTCCCAGAGTGTGGGAAGCAAAACTGGAAACCAATCTCTAGGTGGGGCCTAACTGGAACTTGTACTCTGCATATTTGCTGCACTACGCATTTGCTAAAAGCAGTCAAACAGAAATTAACCTATCCATGAGATCCTGGATTTGTTTTGAATCATGAATAATTTGTTCTAACGCTCTCATGGAGAAAATCGATTACAACGTATCCAGGAATAGAATCCCTACGGAGCAGAAAGGGGCTGTTCATCTCATCAAGTCTGCATGACTCTCTGAAGAGTATTCCCACACCTCATCCCATCCCATCACCCTGAATTTACCATGGCTAATCCACCGAGCCTGCACATTACCAGGCAACTTAGCATGACCAATCCACCTAAGCTGCACTTCTTTGGATTGTGGAAGGAAACCGGAGCACCCAGAGGAAACCCACACAAAATAAGGAAGAACCTGCAAACTCCACATAGACAGTCGCTCGAGACTAGAATTGAACCCAGCTCACTAGCACCATGAGGTAGCAGTGCTAACCAATGAGCCACAGTATCCTGGTTGGACAACTGAGAAATAACATTGCAAAACAAGGAACAATCTTTTCAACAGAAAGGCCTAGTGCTGACTGAAATAACACAGCATGGAGCTGGAGGAACACAGCAGGCCAGGCAGCATCAGAGGAGCAGGAAAGTTGACGTTTCGGGTTGGGACCCCTGCTGACTGAAGCCTGATTTCACTTGGATAAGGGAACCACATGCAGCATTTCTGAGTTCGCCGATGACACAAAACATGGTGGGATTGTGTGTGGACAGCAGGAAGCAAGGAGGCTTCAAGGTGATTTAGACAAGTGGAGTGAGTGCACACACAGACATGGCATATGCTGTACAACATGGCAAAATGTGTGAAAACCAGAAAGGCAGGTTATTATGTAAATGGTGATATATTGGGAAGCATAGATGTCCAAAGGGATCTGGGTATATTTGTATATCAGTCAATGAAAGTAAACAGGCAGGAGCAGCAAGTAATTAAGAAGGTACACTGACCTTCATTGCAAGAGAATTGAGTTCAGAAGTAGGGATGTCCTAGTGCAGTTATACAGGGTCTCAGTGAGACCACACCAGTGTGCAGTTTTGGTCTCCCTACCTAAAACAGGATAGACCTGCCATACAGGGAGTACAGTGGAAGTTCACTGGGCTGGTACTGAGGATGGCAGGACTGTCCTACAAGGGGAGGTTGGTTCGAATGGGCCTGGATTCACTCAAGTTTAGAAGGATGAGAGGGGATCTAATGAAATGTATAAAACTCTAACAGGGCTGGACAGACCCGATGCAGGGAGGAGGTTTCCCCTGGTTGGGGAGTCTAGAACCAGGGGACACAGTCTCAGGGCGATACAGGGTAGACCATTTAGGACTGAGATGAGGAAACAATTCTTCACTCAGAGGGTGGTCAACCTGTGGAATTTTCTCCCACAGGAAGCCAAGACACCCAATATATTCAAGAAAAAGAGAAATAATTTTTCACATTTTAACAGCATCAAGAGGAATGGGGAGAAATGGGAATGTGGCATTGAGAGAGAGGATCAACCATGATCAACCTGAGTGACTCAAAGAGCCAACTGGTTACTCCTGCCCTTAATTTCTATGTTTCACCCGAGCCAACACTGGGAACTAATTATTCCTGAACACAAACTGAGGAACAACGCTTGGCGATAAAGATTGAAACAGACTAATGAAAAGGGGTTCTTAAGAACAGTCATCCTGGAAAATGTTAACTCTGTGTTTCTCTCTCTCTACAGATACTGCCAGACCCAGTGAGTTTCTCCAGCATTTTCTGTGTTTCACAGAATCCATACAGTGTGAAAACAGGCCTTTCAACCCAACATCAACAATGTGAAGACCACCCAACCCAGACCCATTACCCCAACCTGTAATTCCCATGGCTAACACACCTAATCTACACATCCCTGGACACCATGGGACAATTTAACATGGCCAATCCACCTAGCCTGCGCATCTTTGGACTGTGGGAGGAAACCAGAGCACCCGGAGGAAACACACACAGATACAGGGAGAACAAACAAACTCCACACAGACAGTTGCCCGAGGGTGGAATCAAACCCAGGTCCCTAGCGCTGTGAGGCAGCAGTGCTAACCACTGAGCCACCGCGCCACCCATCTGGTTCAGATCGCCAGCATTCACAGTATTTTGCCTCTGTAAAAAAACATTACCATTGCTTAATGTTGAAAAGGAACTATGCTCAGGTGGTCAACAACTTTTCTTTATGGATAAAGTAACAGCCATTCCTCAGTTTTCCAAAGTTCTGTGAAAACTAGAGTATGCATTAACATTAACCTTGGATCACGATGGATGGGGGAGGGGTTAAGGAAGTTAAACCCCCCACATAAGCAGCTGAGAACCTTTCTCCCTGATGGATTCCAGACCAAGTGAGGATCCCATGGAATATTCCATGGGGACAGCACAGTGGCTCCGTGGGTTAGCATTGCTACCGCACAGTGCCAGGGACCCAGGTTCCTTTCCAGCCTGCATGGAGTTTGTGTGTTCTCCCTGTGTCTGCATGGGTTTCCTCCCGTAGTGCAAGGATGTGCAGGTTAGGTGGATTAACCGTGGGAAATGAGGATGGGATGGGTCTGGGTGGGATGCTCTTCAGAGGGTTGGTGTGGGCTTGATGAGCCGAATGACCTGCTTCCACACTGTAGGTATTCTGTAATTGTCACTGTGTGACTGGGAGTCCTGATTTCACTTGGAAATTGCTGCATGGGTTACCCAGGGATCGGCAAGATTTCAGGCAACGTGGGTTAAAACATTCCGTCCAGACAGAAGTGATCACAGAGAATTTGCAAGTGAGTTGCAGAAGATTGTCTCCCTTTTAGATTCTGAGAAGGATTAAAGAATTAAACAGAAAACGCTGAGGCTATTTCTGTCAGATGAACCTGATAGTTCTTGTATCAAACATACATCTGTTTTGCTGATTGATTTGAAAGTAATCCAGGAGAGGGCTTGATTGTAATTTCTGTTCATCCTTGAAGGCAGATCTCATTTTGACATATTTGATGTGATTAAATTCTCTCTTCCTCAACTGCATCTGACAAAGAAAATGAAGACCATGTTGAGAGATCCCTGTATAAAGTGGAGAATGTGAAGTGTCACTCATAAAGTGTCTGTGAAATTTACACTCTCTTTGTTAGTGCATAGATTAGATTACTGCTTGTCGCACCAGTATAGTCCCCGGCAAATGCCTAACAGGCAGGTTCAGCAAGATTAATTTGCCTTAATGTTATTCCTTGTTTCCATCGAAGGGAATAGTGCATTCATGATCCGTTTCTTATGTATTCATGCACCAGGAAAATGTCAAATTTTGTGGGTGGGCAGACAGGAGGTATGGACCCACACATCCACCACAACCCAGGAGAGGCGGAAGATGTTTTATCCCGTGGATAGCAGCAAGAGGCCACTGTGATGACAGCCTGGGCAGAGGTGGCTGAGGGGACCAGCAACTGTAAGCATTGGCACCATAGAGCCTGCTCCAGGCCCACAGGAGAATGAATATTGTGGCTGTGCAGGACATTGGTTTGGCCACTTTTGCAATACTGTGCTCAGCTCTGTTCTCCCTGCTACAGGGAAGACGTTGTTAAACTTGAAAGGGTTCAGAAAAGATTTACAAGGATTGGAGGGTTTGAGCTATAGGGAGAGGTTCAATAGACTGGGGCTATTTTCCCTGCAGCGTCGGAGGCTGAGGGGTGACCTTCAGGTGATTAGCCAAGGTCTTTTTCCTTAGGGTGGGGGTGTCCAAAACTAGAGGGGCATAGGTTTAAAGTGAGAGGGGAAATATTTAAAAGGGACCTTAAGGGGCAACCCTTTCACGCAGAGGGTGGTGTCTGTATGGAACGGGCTGCCAGAGGAAGTGGTGGAGGCTGGTACAATTACAACATTTAAAAGGCATCTGGATGAGTATATGAATAGGAAGAGCTTAGAGCAATATGGACCAAATGATGGCAAATGGGACTAGATCAGTTTAGGATATCTGGTCAGCATGGACAGGTTGGACCGAAGGGTCTATTTCCGTGCTGTAAGACTCTATGGCTTTATGAATGACTCCCTGTCCTCTGCAAGGGTTTGTCCAGTCCGCAGTGTAACAGCTGGTCAGTAGGTTTGCAGCAGCCAATCAGACGGCAGCTCTGAAGTTAGCTATATAAGTGTTCCACTACTCCATCCATTGCTTTCCTCTGGGCTGTGCAGTCAGCAAACGGTAGGACATTCCAGGCTCATCTCCCTCGTATGGACTCCAGATGGAGCAGTCAACTGCTCAGTTACCACCGACAGCAACGAGCTATTGGACCACCTGAGGCATCACAGCTAAGCCTCCCTTGCTTATCGGTGGCTGTGCATCAGGGGCAGACCCTTAACTCTGACTTCTGTTTGTTGTTTCAGTTTTGGCAGCTTTAAATTGAACAGCGGCAAACTTACTCTGGTAGCCCAGCCCTCTGTTATTGGCGAAGGCTGGGGGGGGGTGCGGTATTATCCACAACCAGAGACAGTCAGCACCTTCAGGACAGGAAGGCAGTGGGCACCGGGCCCCACCCCCTAGTGAGGGTCAGCACCTTCAGGAGAGGAGGAGAAGAGAGAGATATATTAGAAAAGGAAATTGATTGGGAATTTTTTTAATCTTATTCAATGAAATGTGAAATCCTTTTTAGCGAATGACCCGCTGCTGGTTACAGGACGTCAACAAATCCTTCAAAGCCTGTCACAGGACCGAGCAGCCGGTTTCCTGCCCTTGGTATTGGTTGCCAAGCATATTTTCTTTTGCACATTTAGCAGGAGATTGGAGATTTGTCGACTTTATCCCTGACTCGGTAACTGCAAAGCCTCCAAGTTATGGGGTTGGTCTGACTTTCGCACTTTTATGGGATGACAAAGTCTAGGGTTTGCACTGAAACCTGGCCCGTCAACCTTCCAGTGACAAGGAATTTGCAAATTCGGGCTGTGTCAGCTTTTGGTGTGGGCAATAGGATGTGGCCAGTGCTCAGGGCCACCTTTGCAATGGGGCAATGATTCCCCTTGGTAGCAGAAAGGGGACAGGGGACAAGGGAGCAGTGCAGTCTGAGGAAGCCCTCTGCTATGCTAGTTGGAGACTGGCTGTAATAGTACCCAGCCTCGCACACATTGAAATGAAACCAGCAAATCACATGATCAAACCAATAACAGGCACGAGGCAATGCAGACCACAATGTTCAAGATCCTGCATTGTATGTGGAATTTAAATTCCTCTCAGCTGAGGACATCAAAGACAGTTTTAATTCACATCAACTGTAAGCTTAATAACAGCAAGTTACAAACAACCATGGTCATATTTACAATTTTATATTAAACCTCAACTACTTTAAAAATGAATTACACAGCAATACTCCAGGCAGCACTCCCTCAGTACTGATCCTCCGACAGTGCGGCGCTCCCTCAGTACTGACTCTCCGACAGTGCGGCGCTCCCTCAGCACTGACCCTCCGACAGTGCTGTGGTCCCTCAGCACTGACCCTCTGACAATGCGGCACTCCCTCAGTACTGACCCT